AACACCGCAGGCTTGCTGGAACCATCAACGTGGTTGAGCTGTTGCTGCTGCTGCTGCTGCTGCTGCTGCTGTTGCTGCTGCTGCTGTTGCTGCTGCTGCTGTTGCGCGGCGGCCGCGGCCGCTGCTGCTGCTGCCGCCGCCGCCGCTTCCTTAGCCGACAGGGCCACTGTCTTGACCCCGACGGGCGGCGGCGGCCCAGGGGAGCGGCCGTCCTGGAAGCAGCCGTGCGCCCGCTTCAGCTGGCGCGCGGTCTCGATCACGAACTCGATGCGATCGGCGCCCTCGTAGTTGACGCAACCGCGGCATACGGGTTCCGAGAAGTCCCAGATCATGGCCCAAGGCATGCGGGGCAGGTCGCACAGGTAGCAAGATTGTCTCCGGGACGAGGACACCTGCGCCGCCGACATGATGCCGGCCCTGGGGAAGGTAGGCCCCCGCCCGGGCTGTCTCCGCGACGCCTTCTCCTCCGGGAGGACTGGCCGGCTGGGGAGGGAGTCCGACTGCGGGGGAGGGAGGAGGGGGGGCGAGAAAGTTCTGCCCCAGGGGCTGGAGGGAACGCGAGTCTCCACCGCCGGCGCAGCGCCTCGCCGTGGGGGCTCCACCGCCCGGGCAGCGGACGGGTTCAGCCTGCTCTTCGCCCCCACCTCCTACTGCGGTTGTCTCGTCGCGAGGGGAGCTCAGGCGCCTTCTTCCTGGTGCTGCAGACTTGGGTTGGAAGCTCCCGGCCCGAGGGGAGGGGGCGAGGGTGCCCGGTGCTGGCCGCCGTTGCCTCTTGGCCCCCTCCCCGGAGTGGATGGTGCGTGGAAGCTCGAAAGGGGCTGTCTCTTCCTCTCCCCGGGGGCCCCCCTACAAGCTGCGTCCTCTCCCCGACGGGCCCCCTGGGGCGAGGGCTAGAGGGTTCAATGCCACCCGGTGCCCGGGTCCAATCTTGCTGAAGCCGCTGCTTCCCCGGAGGACCGGGGGAGGGGGTGGCAGCCGAGAAAGGACCGTCTCCCCTTCGCAGCGTCGGCCGTTCTGCTGGCGGCGGCTGGGTTTGCACCCCAGAGGGAGCCGCCGCGGCCACTGCTTCCAGGACGCACGAGAGCAGAGGAGAGGAGGGCACGCACGCAGGCTCCCGCCGCCCCCAGGCCTGGCCGGCGCCCGGGCCGCCGCGGCTGGCGGCGCTCACGTTGGTTGCAGGGCGCTCGCGCGGCGCCTCCGCCCGGGTCGCATCCCTTCCCGCTCGTGCTCGCGCTCGCCCGGAATGTGGGGTTGTGATTGTTACTCTACGTTCCGGAGGCGCGTCTCGGCGCTCCTGCTCCGGCTGCGGCTCGCGCTGTCCCCGGCTTGGCCGCGCGGGATGCCGCCCAGGCGGAGCGCTGACGTCACCGCCATGCTCTGCACCAGTTCTCCCCCCCCTCCCCTTTACACTTCCTCTGTGGAGCCCACTTGTTGCTCCGGAAAGGCGCATGCGCGGCAGGTTGCCCAGATTCCTCCCAGCCGGCCCCTCCTCCGCGCCTCCGCCCTCCCCTCCCCCCTCGCCGTGTGTGTACAACAGCTGAGGCCCGGCGAGCTAATGCTGGAAGTCCAGAGCTGGGGGTGGAAATTAAACAGACGATGACCTTTCCTTTCCCTGCCCGGCATTCCCAAGTAAAAAGGCATTTAAGAACCACTAGCGTCGTTTCCGATCCCTGCTCCCCACCCCACCCCCAAGCCTCGGCAGTGAATTTAAATGTCCTGTTTCAGGATTTTTTGCCGTGAATTTCGTATAAGGTATTAACCATTTCATCTGTGATTGAACCTTATCCCCCACTCCGACGGGTATGTTACATTCATCGCCACCACTGATGCCGAAGCACCTGCAAAATTAACTGTTTTACAATCTTCCAGAAACTGTGTTTTTTATTTGTTTTTGTGCCCTGATCTAGGAACCTGGGCTTCAACGATGGAGCTAAATGAATTCAGAGTGCGCTACCCTTCCCCCTAGCCGCACTCTAAAAATTGTGGCTGAACGTCTGAAGAAGATACGAGCACCCCGAGGCCTTTAAGGAAAACCGTCAACTGGCTGCGCACAGCTGCAGTTGAGGGCAGGGAGGGGTAGGGGCCGGAGAGGCCAAACAGGTGAGTGGTTTTTCTGGAGTTTGATTTTTAAAAGGTAGGGGCAGCATTTAATAATACTGGTATCTTTTTGTAAAGCACAGTCACAGTTTTCAAAGTTATTTCTGAGGCGCTGTGATCTCACTCCATGCTGCCCCAGAAGGCAGAACAAGGCCGTGATTTCTTTTTTCTTTCTTTTTTTTTTGAGACGGAGTCTCGCTCTGTCGCCCAGGCTAGAGTGCAAAATGGTGCGATCTCCGCTCACTGTAACCTCTGCCTCCCAGGTTCTAGCGATTCTCCCGCCTCAGCCTCCCGAGTAGCTGGCCTAAGGCACCTGCCATCAGGCCCGGCTAATTTTTTGTATTTTTGTAGAGACAGGGTTTCACCATGTTGGCCAGGGTGGTCTTGAACTCCTGACCTCAGGTGATCCTCCTGCCTCGGCCTCCCAAAGTGCTGGGATTACAGGCATGAGCACCACACCCGGCCAAGGCGGTGATTTCTTTTGCCTTATAAGATCACTGCTCATCAGTATTGCTTATGACACAACGGATTTGTTGGTCATAGCTCTAGTTGGGGCATTTCTATTGATTATTGTAATTATTGGGTTTGCTTTTTTTTTATTTCATGAAAACTGAGATAATCCCAGGGAAGGCTGGAGAAGGGAAAGCAATATAATGGGATTTCGGGTTCTGGAGTCTGGCCAGCAGATAGAAATTTCCTCTCCATCACTTACTGGCTTTGCATCCTTAAGCTGGTTACTCACAAAATCTCTTTTCCGTCTGTAAAATGGAATGGTAGCTCCCATCTTATTAGGGTTAGACGGAATGGTAGCTCCCATCTTATTAGGGTTGTTTGAAATTTCAACTTGGGTTTTTTGTTTTTTTGAGATAGGATCTTGCTCTGTTGCCCAGGCTGGAGTGCAGTGGTACACTCGCAGCTCACCACATCCTCACCTCCCAGGGTCAAGCAATCCTTCCACTTCAGCCTCCCCTAGTAGCTGGGACTGCAGGCATGTGCCATTACACCTGGCTAATTTTTTTGTATTTTTGGAAAGGGATGGGGTTTTGCCATGTTGCCCAGGCTGGTCTCGAACTCCTGGGTCCAAGTAATGTACCCACCGTGGCCTCCCAAAGTGTTGGGATTACAGGCATGAACCACCTCACCCAGCCTCAATTTGTTTCTTGTCATAATAGGAGATAACGCTTACTTAGACTTGCCATGGGACACTTAGTAAACTAGGTGGCTTACTTGCATTACCCTTAATATTATCTACATTATTAAGGGGATATTATCTATAGTATTTTGTTATTGTTTTGAGACAGAGTCTCACTCTGTCACCCAGGCTGGAGTACAGTGATGTGATCTCAGCTCACTGCCACCTTCACCTCCCAGGTTCAAGCGATTCTCCTGCCTCAGTCTCCTGAGTAGCTGGGGGTAACAGGCACCCGCCACCACACCCAGCTCATTTTTTGTATTTTTAGTAGACATGGGGTTTCACCATGTTGGCCAGGCTGGTCTCGAACTCCTGACCTCAGGTGATCCTCCTGCCTCAGCCTCCCAAAGTGCTGGGATTACAGGCATGACCCACCATGCCCGGCCTATTATAGTATTAAACCCTTAATATTATCTAAAGGGTAGATTCTTTTGCCTCCATTTTACAAACCAGGAAAGTAAAGAAGCTATATAACTTGCCCACAGCCATTAGTGATGGAGCTGGGATTTGAATCCAGTAAATCTGATTTGAGAGGTGGCTTTGACAAGCTCAGGCTCACAGAGATGGTTTGGGGTGCTCAAAATTCCCATCAGCCCCAGTTGATCTGGTGTTATATACAATCTTCCGTAAGTACTATGCCAATACACCTTCATATCCAACCCCCAGCCTCCCCTTCCAAGCACATTTATACCACTGAGTTCTATATACAGAAGCTGTCGATCTGCCACTACCAGACTGTAACCTAAGTACACCATACAGAATGGAGAGCAGTGTTGGACTCACAGTGTTAGTTATTATCAGTATTGATACTAGTGTTGGTACTATTGCTGGTTAACATGTGACAGTACTTTGTAAATTGCATAAAATGTAAGGATTACTATGCTTATCACTCTCATTACTACTAATTGCAATAAAGTTCAGTGGAAGCAACAAGAGATACTTACTTTTTTTTTTGACAGTTGACTTCCAGAGCCTATTCCCCTATCCAACACTTCCCAGAGCCCCAATCTCCCACTCATTCTGGGGCCCCCAAGTGCAAAGGAAAGGCGAGTTTTTAAGGACAGAAAAGGAGGAGGAGGAGCCCTAGGGAGCCCCTCTTTCATCTCAAAGCAGCCAGATTTCTGTTTTTGCAAAACAGTGAGCTCACTGTGCACTTCAGAGCAATAATAAACTTTCTCTGGCCTGCTGGCACTTTGCAGTGATTCCTCTGCAAAGAACTGCTTGGGGAGCATTGCCTCACTCTCCCAGACTTCAGCCCTCCCCACACCACAGCTACCCTGGAGTGAGTCAAAACAGGGGTGGGAAATGGTTTGACATCCCCGCCAGCCTGGGGCTCCTTAGCTTTGGCTTGGCTGGGTGACCCATTTCTTTACATTAATATTTATTCAGCCCTTCCCTTTATTAAACCAAAAATATTGGGAAAATAGCAACTTAGCCACAACCCTCCAGCCAGGCTGCTAGAGAAAGCAAGTTGGATTCTATGTCATGGTGTTATGTTTGGTATGCACACACATATGTCTCCATCTCCCTGTCTGTCTCTGTCTTCACTGTTACTAAAGGAGATATATATACACACATACATGCCGGGATGCCTCAGACACACTGAGTTAGAAATCAACGTGTATTTAAACAGACTTCCATTACAGTCTCATAATCCTTTAATTTATAAAACACAGCTCTCTCCAAACCCCCCCCCAAAAAAATCACCATGATTTGTGGTATCTCATGTTGCCTGTCTGAGATGGCCGTTTGAGGATGTGTGAGAGACGGTGAGAGGCAAGAACTCCAATGTTCTGGAGGTGGGTTTTCTCCCCGAAGAAGAGTCCCGTGCAACAAAACTATGACAACAGTGGAAAGGAACTGGAAAGGATTTGGGAGGGGGTTGGTGGAGGTGGAGGAGCCTCAACGTAAACTGCCAGGTGCAGAGACTCACAGAACTCTGTCCATGGGGTCTGGGACACAAGCAGAGACTAGCAGAGCCGGGCGCCAAACGGCGACATCGTCTTCCCAAAGTTCCTTCCTATGTCGCTTTCCCCACCCAGCTTGCCATCTGGGCTGGCATCCTCAGAGAACCCTGCTGTAAACTGGAGCAAAAGGTCAGCTTTCCACCTGGCCTTTCCGGAGCACCACAGCCCAAGGTTACTAGTGGTGAGAAGGTCGCTAGGCGCGCACTTCGAAGCTCCCTGCAGTCTTCTGCCCCCGCCGTTTTGTGGCAGAGACGGGGCGGGTGGGTGTGGGGGGGGCGGGGGGTACTCTTGGCCTGGCATCCCTGCAGTCAGCTGGCTCAACCTTCGAGGAGGCCCGGGCTGAACCTCGCGTCACCCCGCTGCAACGCGCGCCGCCAAGCGCTCCAGCGAGAGAAAGGCCTTTTTTGGTAACAGCCCCGCGGTAAGCGGGACCCACTTCTCTGGCCTGCGAGATCCGCCTCGGAGAAGATGAAAACAAACGTCTGGGTTGGGCCCTCCTCTGGCCTTTCCATGGCCCCTGATCGCCGCGCGCCAGGAACCCCAGAGGCGCAGTTTGAGCCCTGGGCCTGTAGAGACGCGCAAAGGGGCTGTGGAGGGTGGGGGAAGGGAGATAGCAAGATGATTTACGCTTTTACTCCCAGGCCCATTCCGTGGCGGAAGTATTTGCCTTTCCCTAAAGGAGTAATCCCGATATTTGGGGAAAAAAAAGTATTAACTTAGGCCAGGGCGTAGGGTTACGCAAGAGCCACTCGAGCATGAAATCCCAGGAACAACGTGATTCGCTGAGAAGCCCCGGGGGAGGGGAGCCTGCACCGCCTGCCAGGACCTGCCCAGCCTGGGGCGCGCGGGCAGTCGGGCTCTCAGTGCAAAATCGGGTGGAAGGAAAAGGAGGGCGGGCGTAGTGGTTGGTGCAGGCACAGTGGCCACAGCGAGGGATGGATCTCTGACTGATTTCTTCCTGGAGGGGCGGGGAACAGGGAGGGGAAGAAAGGCGCGGGGAGTCGCGTCTGGTTCCTGCCTCCTCCCCGCTTCCTCTCTTTGCCCGTGTGCCAGGATGGGAGAGCCCAGCGCTGTCCTCAGCAAAAGCTGGTGTGGTTTTTTTAGGTCCAAAAATAAAGGAACCCTGGAATGAGCCGCCCAGGGACCAGGCCTAGAGGAAAAAAAGAGGGAAGAGCCAGACAAGGGTGCTATTCACTGACCTGGTTGGGTTAAAACAAATACCCACACCCCAAAAAGGGGAGTTGGAGAGGAAGGAAGCCTTGGACGGCAAGAGTAGGCAGAAAGCTGGCGGGGCGGCCGACCAGGCCACAGGTGCGCAAACCCCGGGACCCTCCACCCCGCCGGGCGCGCGCCTGGGCCTCAGCAGGGAGTAGGAGTGCCAGCCAGTTCCCACTGGCCCGCACCGACCTGGGGATTTCCATCGCCGGCTACGGAGACCCGTTGCCGCCGGCGCTTTCCTGCTGGGGCCACCAGAAGGCGGGGCCTCAGAGCGGGAAGCCCCTCCCTGCAGCCTCGCCATCCCTCAGTCAGGTCTGGTACACGGGGCAGCTGTCACTGCTGTGCCTGGTTGGGAAGGATGGGCCAGGACCCTTAAATATTTTGGCTTGCGTGAGCTGGGTATTTCAACCCGAAACTCAGGAGAGAGGGAGGAAGGGAGGGCGCTTAGCCTTTGGGTACATATTTACATTATGTTGTTTAACTTGGACTTGGCTGACCCTAAACAGCTGTGTGAACTTGAGCAAATCACTTGAATTTCGGTTTCTTCATCCGTAAAATGGGAAAAAATTACACTGCCTCCTTTGCCTGCCTCGTTGATCTGTGTGGAAGACAATATAATGCGCTTAATAAAATGTAAGACATTATTAACAATATAATGACCAACATTTGTCTAGGGCTCCGAAGTGCATTCCCAGACATTATTTCACCAATCCCTACACCAACCCTGTGAAGTAGGTGTTACTTTCATCAACCTCCTGTATAGGTGAGTAAAGCCAAGTCCAGAATTACTGGAAACGAGGTTCTCTGGCTGTAAAACTGGCATTTCTTCTTTCACCCCGCCTGTTGCTATAGCCTTTTGAGGGTCTTAGATGCTCCTGAGAAACTGCAAGAAATTAAAACCTCTCTCCCCACAGGAGTTTACAGGTTCACATCCCAGTAGATGCAAGGTTATACATAAATTAGCACAGGTTATTATGGAGTTAAAATCACCATCCAGCTTTGAAGCAAAATTGAGTAGTTATGCTTTCCCGGCATCCTGTAAAACCATTCTCTTTCTTCCTGCCTTTTTTTTTTCTTTTTTTTTTTCTTTCTTTTTTTTTTTTTTTTTCTTTGAGAGAGTCTCACTTTGGTTGCCCAGGCTGGAGTGCAGTGGTGTCATCTCGGCCCACTGCAGCCTCAAACTCCCTGGCTCAGATGATTCTCCCACCTCAGCCTCCTGAGTAGATGGGACTACAGGTGTGTGCCACCACGCCCAGCTAATTTTTTATTTTTTAATTTTTAGTATATAAAAAAAAGATGAGGTTTTGCCATGTTGCCCAGGCTGGTCTCAAACTCCTGGACTCAAGCAATTCACCTGCTTGGGCCTCCAAAAGTGCTGGCATTACAGGCATGAGCAACCACGCTTCACCCATGCTGGAGTGCGCTGGTACGATCTCAGCTCACTGCAGCCTTCACCTTCGAAGATCAAGTGATCCTCCCACCTCAGCCTCCAGAGTAGCTGGGACTACAGACATGCGCCACCCCATACCTAGCTAAGCTTTTTATTTTTTGTAGACACAGGGATCTCACTATGTTGCCCAGGCTTGTCTCTTCAGGGCTCAGGCAGTTCTCCCACCTCAGCCTCCCAAAGTACAGAGATTACCACGACACCGGGTCTCTTCCTGCCTTTTCTATATCCTGGTCCTTGGCAGAGGTGATGGAGGAAAATCTGAAGTTCTAGAACTCACTGAAGCATTTAGGAATTTACTGAGGACAGCAGCATTTTAAATGTGCACTCCTGAGAAAGACCCCAGGTTGAAAAATAAAGAGGAAGGAGGAAAATGAAGAGAGTGCATTTTATAGTGGAAGGAGCCTCTTCTCATACCCAAAAGTCATATCACACAAGTAATGTGCGCCACCTTATACGGGTCACACCAGCTGTGTAGACACTCCCCCAATATGTACTGTCCTGTTCTTAGGCTGGGGGCCACTTGACTGTGGCAGGCTACAGTCCTCAAAGCACTTCTGGCCACCAGGTGCAGTGCAGTTGTGCACACCTATAGTCCCAGCTACTTGGGAGGCTGAGGTGGGAGGATCACTTGAGCCCAGGAGTAGTTCGAGACTGCAGTGAACTATGATTACACCACTGCATTCCACCATTCCACCCTGGGTGACAGAGCAAGACCCTTTTTTTTTTTTTTTTTTTGAGACGGAGTCTCACTCTATTGCCCAGGCTGGGGTGCAGTGGCGTGATCTCAGCTCACTGCAACCTCCACCTCCTGGGTTCAAGCGATTCTCCTGTCTCAGCCTCCCAAGTAGCTGGGATTACAGACGCCTGCCAGCATGCCCAGCTGATTTTTGCATATATTGTTTCATGGGGTTTCACCATGTTGGCCAGACTAGTCTCGAACTCCAGACCTCAGGTGATCTGCCCACCTCAACCTCCCAAAGTGCTGGGATTACAGGCGTGACCCACTGCACCCAGCCTTCATCTCTTAGAGAGAAAAAAAAAGCACTTCTAGCCAAGGGTAGGTGTATAGCCCTGACATCAAACCTGGCCTAGGCATCATTGGAGCAAGAAAGCCAGGAAACAAAGGGACCCCTCCAACACATCTAGAGGACCACCATACTTTAACCTGAACTCCCTCTCTGGCCATACACAGAAGAGTAAGCTTGATAGGTCCCTGGTGTGAAACTATTCTCAGTACTTACATTTTGTTTTGAAGCTGAAACTTGGCTACCAGACGGCCTGGTAGGTTTCTGTTCCCCAACTCCTTAACCAGTGCCCTTCCATTTACCATTCATTCAGTTACTCAACTATTTATTTAGGGAGCACTTTCTATCTCAGTGCCAGATGAACCGAGCCAGACTGGCTCTAGCCCAGAATCTAGAAGCTTCCATTTCCTCCTAGGTGTCCTACTTTCCTGATGCAATAGCCCAAAAGTCATAAGAGGCAGAGCTTGTTCAACACTCCCACCAGCCACATGACTGACTTAGAGCAATCTATTTATTCTCTCTGGGACTCCATTTCTTCACCTGTCAAAGGTTGATATTAAAACCTGTTCCCCTACTTCGGGGGTTTGCTATGAAATTCTGTATGTTAATGCCTAGGGCTGTAGAAAGGCGAGACACTGTGACAAATCTTTTTTCCAGCGCCAAGCCCTTCGAGGTAAAATAGGTGGAAAGCCAGGCCTGCCGCTAAGCCCTGTCCACTCTCTTCATCTTGCCCTTGGAGGGCCTCTTCCTGGGGGACCAATCTAGCATGTCCGAGTCCTTCTGGGCTGACAGACAAACAAGCAATGACAGGCTCTAGGCCTAAGAGCTGGAGGAAGACAATAGTAAGGTTAGGCTGTTTTTTTCTCATCTCTCCTAGAGAGACAAGGATATCCCCTCCCCACATCCCTGGTGGTGGCAGTGAAGCTGGGAGCAGTTGGATTTATTTGGGGCTTTTACTTTTTTTTTTTTGTTTTGGCCAATTTGGAAAGAAAAGAGGCAATGACCTCTTCTTTAAAACACAAAACTAGGCAGGAAGTGTACTGGGCCTGAGTGGCAGGGACTAAGGGTGTAATTACAGGTTTTTGTTCAGCATTTTCAAGTAATTAAATCCAAAGGAAAGCGAGCCTAGCAGAGGCTTCTTGGATGCAGGGCAGACAAGAGCTGTGTGTATGTGTGTGTTTTGTGTGTGTTGGGATGGGGAGGAGAGGCAGGAGGTGAGAAATGGATTTGCTTTTCAGGCTGAGAAGAAGCGGGCTTCTCGTCTTTATTAATATTTTTACATTGCTTTTTCCAAAAGGTAGCCGATTATTCATCTTTTATTCAGTGCTGCTGCCCTCTCCTTGGTGACATTTTCAGCGTGCACAGCCTTCTAGGCACTGATTTTCCTTTCGTGCCAACTCTCCCCCTCCCCACTTTTTCATATTCCCGCTTTCTGCCTGGTTGCCCACACAATAAACCCACTGCAAAATCCACAGCCAGCTTTCTTGCCTACAGTTTCCATCCCAGCGACCTCCGACTCTGCAGAATAGCCTCTCCTTTTGTTTTAAACATCTTCTGGCTTTTCTTGTTCCGCTTTAAAATACTTCTTACCACCACCATCCCTACCCAGCCTCCCCCGTGGCTGCCTCGGTTTCCTTTTGGGACAAGCAATCTGTGCGCACAAGCACACCTGGTTTGCAACGCCCAGAGGCCCAGAGCGTTTGAAATGGGTTCGAAACCTAGAGATGCGCGGGCTCCTCTCTCCTCCCCTCCCCTTCCTTCCCTCTCCCTGGGCCTTTGGTGTCCCTGCGACGTTCGCTGGACGTTGTGAAGTGACAAGCAAGAAAGGATCTACTGTCTGCTCACATTTTTAAGGGCAGGAAACCTGACCCACTCCCAGACCACGCACCCCAAGGAGGGGCACTTGCATTTTCCGGGAGGGCGGGCCTCTACTAGGGTTAGCTGGGGCCGGCCTGGAGGCTGCCCTCTCCTTTCTTCCTTCTCCTACCCCCACCCCACATCATGCCCGCAGATTACCGCCCCCAATTCCCCCTCCAGTCCCCTTCACCTACTCTTCCCAAGAACAGATTGTTTATCAGAACGGGCAGCCAAGAAACCTACTCCTGTTTCTGGCCTCTGCCAGAGATTAATCACACTTGGGAATGGCACAAAACTTGACTGTGTTGGGGCGGGGTGAGGCGTGGGGGGTAGGGAGGTGGGGAGATGTGGGGTTGGGGGGGGTAGTTAAAAGGAAAGACCAATAAATTTGACAAGGTGACCAAATCGGGGTTACCGCTACCTCTCGCCGCCTTTATTTTAGTAAGTCAGTGCAGAGGACGGAATTCTACTTCATTCCCACTCCCTCTACCCCCACCCCCAATTACCTTCCTCCTTCTCTAGGTCTTCATGTTTGATGCTTTAATAGTACTCACTGGCTTTTAATTCTGATTAACATTCTCAGCTGGTGTGTGTCTGTGCGCGCGCGCGTGCACGCGCGCGCGTTGGGGCTTGGCAAGACACACTCAAACCGGACTGCCTGACAAATCCCCCCTTTTCATCCTTCTCTTTGAAATGACATCAAGATGGACTTGTAGGGGGGAGGGATGAAGAGAGGAGGCACGGAAAAAAGAGAGGGAGGGGGAAGTAATTTATGTGCTTTTCTAAGGCAGCTAGTAAAATTCCTAAGGGAGAACAAATGCCAAAATTGACTGTCTTGGTGTATTTTAGACCCGATCGTCAGGGTGAATCATGTCAGGGCTTTGCAGTGGACCTGCAGCCTGGGAGCTGAAGACAGGGACACGAAACATCCCTGTGGCTGGGAGGTGCCTTTCTGAAGGAGGCGGGAGATGGGTATTTGCTCTTACCAGGCTCCTCTCCATCAGGATTTTTTTTTTTTCCTAATTCATTGCAAGATGGAGTTTTTTTTTTTTTTTTTTAAATTGGCACTGATAAAGAAAAGCCAGGGATAGAAAACTCCCCATAAAACACGGCCCCCAAAGGGAAGTGCAAAACCCATTTGATGCAAAATATAGATATCTTCACCCTGGATTTTTCCCCCTTTGCTTTACAACTCTGCAGACATCAGGTTAGCAAAAGGTAATAAATAGTCCTTGCACAGCAGGGTCTGGACTAGTGAAAACAGTTTACTGAAATTAATGGGCCTCGCTTGAACCAAAACCTCCACTTTGGAATTAATGCCAGACATAGTTTTCCTGAACTCTATCCAACCGCCTAAGCGGCAGACAATTTTCATTCTATTTGTGCTGGAAAATAAAGCCCAAGCCCTTGATCTCAGTGTAGATTTTCATTAAAAAAAAAAAAAGTACAGTGAATACTGTGCCAATTTCCACTTTCTGCCCGCAGAAGCCCTTGTGCTCTGGGCTGTGCGTGACGGTCAGAAGTTATCTGGTAAACTTTGCATTGAAAACCATCTCCGAACTCACTCCCCATCGGTGGCCTCAGAGCTTTCACCATGACATCTGAGAGATTCAAGGAAAGCTCCAGAAACAGGCTCAGCTCTCAATAACAACCCTCTTCCCTACAGATCTTAGAAAGGCTGAATCTGAACAACGCTGCCTGCAAGACCTCCATTCCTACCCTAA